ACTCCATGAGTTATACAAAAGATTTGTTCAAAATGAACGAATCATTTTAGAACGACCCATCACTGACGCGACATGGAGGAACATGCAGTGCCAGACAAATCCAGACAAGTCTGACTCCCTCTTGCGTGCACACGCTTCACACAGCGCTTACGGCTGTCACATCGGTTTATCAGAAACCTTTTAGCGATCATTTCTTTCGCAAATGACGGCACGAACGAACGTAGAAGTCTTGTCAAAGTGACAAGCAGCACCTGAATGTGTTCGCAAGAATTAAAAATGCCAAAATGAGATGAATTCATACCGCATATCGAAAGTGAAACCACCTCATATTCACTAGTTCTAAGTCGTGTTAGGGGATATACCGATATGATTCCCCATCTCGATATACCGCCCAGCCCTAGTATTTAGCCCTACATACTGTTGAATCTGGTAATCCTGCAACATATTTTCTTGCACATGACCACACAGAACAACATTGATGGCATTCAAAGACTTGTAGACCTGTAACTTCTCTCTTTTAAAATCACTCGGAGCTTCAATGAGATTGTATATTTTAGGTTGGACGCTTGGTCATTTAGTCGTATCTATTATCCATTGGGAGAGTGCTATCGCAAATAGACCTGTCAGGCTAACGCTGCTCACTTTAACGTTAATTTTGCCGAATCACTGTGCTTATCACTGGGTGACGAGCTGTTATAATACACTGAAATCATTATGTAAATAATATATATAATATGTAATCAATATGACTTATCTCTAAGACAACAACAAACTCTGCACTGCATCGGATGTCAATCCCTCGCTGTAAATGCTAGTGCTCCTGTTTTGTTTTTTCTGCAACCTCGCTACGCAAGCATCCTGAATGTTTACAAACTAATAATTCATCTATTGGACGTCAAACTAACGTTGTCTACTGAAGCTGTCTAGTCATTGAATTTTGGTCACCTGACATCATGACCTAAATCTAACCTAACGTTAACGTCTTATGATGTTGTGTGCCTGCTGGGTCAGTATGACAAAAAGCATGACAACAGATTATTAAAACAGTGACTGAACATACCCAACCTTTCATCCTTGTCCATTTTAAGTGTGTAAAAAAAACAGTCATGAAAGAGAGCTCTTTTAAAATACACTTAAGTGACCTTTTATTTGAGTTGAGCGTAAATGCTTTCAATACTTTAACACTACTGCTACACAATTAATACAATAAGCGTGCAAATAATCTATATGTGCTTTATATTGTCCTAGTGTAAAAATGCTTCCATAGTCTACATGTGAGATATTAAGGGTCAGAACGGTCAGAACATGTCGCCCACACACACATTCTGCAGAGGATTTATCCAAAGTGGCTTGCATTGCATCGATGGCGCACGTATATCAGTTTTTGCTTGTCCTGGGAATCGAACCCTTAACATTGGCATTATTGCATTATACTCTAACACTTGAGCTATAGAACAGCTACACACGCACGCACACACACTGGATGTTTTGGATCTCTGGGTCTCTCAGTGTGAGCCGTGGGCCAGCGAGCTGCTGAATGAGTTTCTGACAGCGTGTGTAGTTGAGTGTGTGTTAATGTGATCATGTGGGCGGCTGCATCGGCCTGTGATAAAAGCCAGGAGTTTTGAACACAACTCCAAGGCTTGTGTGTGTGTGTGTGTGTGTGTGTGTGTGTGTGTGTGTGTGTGTGTGTGTGTGTGTGTGTGTGTGTGTGTGTGTGTGTGTCTTTAATCAAATTTATCGGAAAGCGATAGAGGTCTAGCAGATGTTACAGCCATAAATTGCTTGTAGTGTGTGTGAGCTGTAATAGAGGGTAGAGCAGGGCACCAGTAGATGTGTGTGTGTGTGTGTGTGTGTGTGTGTGTGTGGTTTGCTATTACATCATTTCAGTTGAAGAACCTGTGAAGTGTTTAAGGCCTGCTGCATAATACATTATAAACTTTAGATAGCTTACTAAATATGTAAAGAGTTGTACGCTACGTTGTCGACATATTACGTTGAATGTCTTATCTTGGCAATGGTGTCTGAATAATGTAATTTAAGAAATAAAAAATGGCCATTTTCATCACATTTTATTTTAAGTTTCCTCAACTACTATGTACTTGCATCAAAACAGAGTTTATTGTGTTCATAATGTATTGCACAACAGGTGTGGTGCTCTTTGCAAAATACAACAACAGTGAAACATACAGTCAGAGTAAATTACAATGACAGTGCAAAATACAACAACATACAGTTGAAACCAGACGTTTACATGCACTCTAAAAAAAAGGAACATAACCATTTAAAAAAATGTCTGATGGTAAATCATACAAAACGTTTACTATTTTAGGTCCGTTAGGATTACCTAAATGATTTACATTTGCTAAATGCCAGAAAAATGAGAGAATTTTTTATTCATTTCTGGACAGTCTAAAGTTTACACATATTTCCTTGGTATTATTTTAGCTTTGCTTTTAAACTGTATAACTTTGGTCAGATGTTTTGGGTCTCCTTCCACAAGCTTCTCACAATAGTTTAAAGGAATTTTGGCCCATTCCTCCTGACAGAATTGGTGTAACTGAGTCAGATTTGTTGGCTGTCTTGCTTGCACAAGCTTTTTCAACTCTGCCCACAAATTTTCTATGAGATTGAGATCAGGGCTTTGTGATGGCCATTTCAAAACATTCACTCTGATGTCCTTAAAGTACATTTTAACTAATTTGGCAGTATGCTCAGGCTCATGGTCTGTTTGGAAGACCCAATTGTGGCCAAGTTTTAATTTCCTGACTGATGTCTTGAGATGTTGCTTCAGTATTTCTACATAATGTTCTTTCTTCATGATGCCATCTATGCTGTGAAGTGGACCAGTCCCTCCTGGAGCAAAACAGCCCCACAACATGATGCTGCCGCCCCCATACTTCACAGTTGGGGTGGTGTTCTTAGGCTTGTAAGCTTTCCCCTTTTCCTCCAAGTGTAACACTGGTCATTATGGCCAAACAGTTCAATCTTAGTTCCATCAGACCACAGGACATGTCTCCAACAATTATTATTTTTCCCAGTGTAGTTTAGCCAATTGTAATCTGGCTTTGTTGTTGATTCTGGCTTGTTGATTTTCCCATGTTGTCACACAAGGAAGCAGTGTGTTTGAGGTTTTCCTTCAATACTATTCTACAGTTGTGCCTCAAATTAACTCAAATGTTGCCAATTAGCCAATCAGAAACTTCCAAAACCTTCATCACCTGAGCTTTTACAGAGGCAGAATAATCTTATTGTATGTAAACTTGACTTTCAAGAAAAGGTATAACAATTTCTCAAAAACTAACTCATTATTCTGCCCTTAAGCAGAACAGAAACAAATTTAATAATCCTAACTAACCTAAAGAAGAAACCGTTTAGTCACATTAACATCTGGCTTTTTTTAATTGTTATGTGCCTTTTTATACAGTGTATGTAATCTTCTGGTTTCAACTGTACTCCCAAAAAACTAAACAATATACAATCAGCAATGTTGACACTCAGTAATACGTAGAAGACAATAAGGTGTACACATAGTCTGACTGTTGGTGGAAAATTCTTGTAGGCAATATTGTTGTAAGTAAGGATTGGTTCATCATCATCATCCCATGTCACCCATATCTGTAATCACATGACCTGATAAATCAAAATCACATGCTTTTTTTTGATGCACATGCTAAAATTTATTCAGTAAATGTGTTTTTATCATCTTTATACACATTTTTGGTTGGACTCTGCCTATAATGACCTTGTGAAAATGTGGGTCAAACTAGTTAATGAGCGCTGGTGTAGAAGGTTATCAAGGCGCTTCATGCATATAGAAAATGTGCTGCATCCAGCAAAAGAAGTGTTACCGTGGTATATTCTGAACACAGTCATTATCTCTAATAAGTGCTGCGCTAAACATTTTCTCTCTTTTTCTCTTTCTCCTCCAGGCGAACTCTCCACCAGTAGTGGTAAATACAGACACGCTGGATGGATCACCGTATGTAAGTATAATGCATATTTTACATCCAGAAATAATTAGTCCTATAATCATCTAGAAGAATGTCTGGCAACCAATCACGACACCTTCTCATATCCTAAATTTGAGATTGGCATGATTTTACCATGTACTTTCTTTGTTGATTATGGTGAGGTTTGTTCCACACCACTGGCTTGCTTGGCTTGGGACGTGTTATTACATTATTTACACATATTTAAGTGTAAATAACTTTTGTACAGTAGAATAAAAACCGAGGTGATGCATATGTGCATAAAATATAGATTCTGCACTTTCAAACGAAACCACTTACGAGGGTCTGGTGCAATGCTCATCCTTTAAATCTTAAAGTGAAAGTCGATGACGTGAGGTTAAAATCGTTAGTTGCAGCCCTAATTTAAACCGCACTGAACTGAACTAAACTGAACTTCAACTGTGAAAACTGGACCGACACAGTTTCAATTCACCAGAACTTCTACTGTATGTTGCTTTGACACAATCTACAATGTAAAAGCGCTATAGAAGTAAACATGAATTGAATTGAATGGAATTCTGAAAAATCATACTTATATAAAATTACCATTGTCAAAAATGTGAACCCAAGCTCATTCTGAAAACGTAGCCCCGCGGGCGTTTCTGGATATCGCGATTTAAGTGGCCGGAGGTACGTATGGTTGCATTTAATTGTTTCAAACGAACACTACGGGGTGGTGTGACGCCACTCCTCTTTGCGCTCGCCGACTGACGGCTCACCTCCGTGTGGAGGACTTTCCCGCCGCAACCAGTTTGTCCGGTTAGCTCGTCGTGTTACGACGGAGGGGAGCCGGCCACAACAACGACGACGACCGGGTTCGAGTCCGGGGAAGATCGATTCTAGAAATCAGGTAAGACAATAAACAGAATCCAAAAAATAAAAGTGAACGAGTTCATAAAGGGGCGAGAATGCGGTGAAATCCGAAAACGCGGTCAAAATTAGACGAGGGCTTTTCTTTTTTCTGGACGGCTTTTGTAATCGTTGCTTGGGTTTAGTGAAGGAGGATGAGGAGGGTGGGTCGGCTGATTGGCCGGCCGCCCTGTCAATCGTTCAGTTAGTCAGTCAGTCAGTCAGTCGGACAGACGGTCGCTTGACAACGGCCTCCGGCGGCTTTACGCAAGGACAGCGCGGGCGCAAACGGCACTCATGTGAGGTGTTCGAGACGTGAAAAAGCGCGCACAGCTGCCTCTAGCGGATTCGCAAAAACAAAAACTGCACAAATACGTACCTCCCAGGACGTATTTCGCGGTCTCCAGAAACGTCCGCGGGGCTACGTTTCTAGAATGAGCCTGGGTGGAAAAATGTAGTGCAAATAGAGTAAAAGTGTCTGTTTTAAACACTACTCAAAGTAGGAGGTAAATGCAGTGAATATTAAGCTGTCATCATGCACACACGTGTATAGATAAATCACTCTGACACACTGAACTGAGCTAAACTGAACTGAACTGAACTTAAACACTAAAAAAACTGAACTACTCTGTTCCAATTTACTATGACCATTTATGTGAAGCTGCTTTGACACAATCTGCATTGTAAAAGCGCTATACAAATAAAAGTCGATTAAATTGAATTGAATGTGTAGGGTATATGCCTAGCTAGTGTTGTTCCCATACTGATAAACTTCCGGTGACCTGTTATTGTGAGTTTTTTTCCATTTTATACGGTTCCATTTAGAGCATCGATGTTGCAATGTAATTAAAATACAACTAGTTAAACAGGCTTTGGTATTTATTTAGTTCCTCGAGGGTGAAACGAAACAAAAAGCCGTCTTCTCACACACGCCTGTCAGAATCGGCAGAAGCTCCATTGAACACACTGGAGTAAAATAAATGCTCATATTATAAAGACATGGCGGGGAAATGTAATTTAATGCAGTGCTTTTTGTATAATCTGAACCCCACTGTATATCAGATATCACTCAGCCAGTGGAGATCGCTGAATTTTAAAGAAAACAGACCTTAAACACGCCGATTTTGCAATGCCATACAGTTCACCGGAAGCGCTTATCCCAGGTTACTGGCAAATTAAAAGTCCTGTTAGCATACTTCGGCATATACCCCATTAAACAGTGAATCAATGATTTCAGAAAGCACAAAAGTGAAAATGTTATTCATCAAAATGGCTGTTCTGGCCTGTAGTGTGAGCAGAGATAGACCCATTATAGGAAAACGAATGGGGGAAATGCGGCGCTAAATAAAGAAGCCGCAGGAATTTCAAGAGTTCACGCTTAGCTCATGATTTATACATAGCTTGTTTGGCATGCTGTCCCGGGAGAGAGCCCTGAGCTCAATGGATCCTCGAGCCCAGGGCTCCCCCCATTTGCAGGGCGAGGGGAGATTGAGCTCAGGTCGATCTCAATAGCCGCGTTTCCACTATCGGGCCAGTGCGAGCCAGGGCTTTTATCGGGCCAGGCCAGGCCAATCGCCCGGGAGGTTGAGCAGTGACGCTGAAATCATGTCGCATTTCCACTGTCGGGCTAGTAGCTTGCAGCGAGTCACGCAAACCCCTCCCCCAGAACATCCCCCAAATCGAACTTCACTTAATCCGCTCACTTCAGCGGGAATCAGGCAAATGAAACTGTTAAAATTAGGACAACCAACCCTGCTGAAAAATCCAGCTTAAACCAGCCTAGGCTGGTTGGCTGGTTTTAAGTGGTCGACCAGGCTGGTTTTAGAGGGGTTTTGGCCACTTCCAAGCTGGTTTCCAGCCATTTCCAGCCTGGTCTTAGCTTGACAGGCTGGGAGATGACCAGCTAAAACCAGCTTGACCAGCCTAGCCAAGCTGGGAGTCCAGCCAAAACCAGCTATAGCAAGCTTAAACCAGGCTGGTCAAGCTGGTTTTAGCTGGATT